TCTGTACATTAGCAGCAGGAGGGTCTAGGACACGGTGACACATGTGGCTCTATGCTACACATACAAGGACTGGGCATCACTAAACTGCTGTCATCGCTCTCTGGAAAAAAACAAAGCACAAATGTATCAATTTTTAAAGAAGAAATAAATCCATTAGAAACAAAAATTGTGTTTTGTTATTGATTCAGAAAACTATGTATCCCAAAAGGACATACATCTGCAGCAGAATCTCAGAATATTACAAAAGAAAGCCATAAGAGCACTTTCTTGGTCTTTGGGTCATGCTCCCACAGATGTTCTCTTCCATAGATATGGTCTATTGAAGTTGCCTGAAGTTCATCTCTACCATAATGCGTGCACAATGTATAGTGTGGTTAACAAGTTAAATGTTCGATTGTGTGAACTCATTCCATTATATTTACCATCACACCAACATAATACTAGGAACAAACTGCTGCCTAAAGGGAAATACAGAAAATTAAAATGCACAAGTTTTAGTATTTGCCACAAAGGCCCAACTACATGGAATGAGTTGGATAGTAACCTAAAGCAATGTGCCACATTATCCAAATTTAAGAGGGAACTGAAGGTTCATCTACCGGGGAGGTATGTGACAGCATGAAAGCGTTGAAGCACTAAGAGTCTTGAACCACTCTCTATTTTGTATCTGTTTGAGGCGAGAGGTAGATCTCTCTTTCACAGCCATGATCTCAGGGCTGGCAGAAGTTACCCTACAGTAAACTCCAGCTGCAAACACTAACAACTACATATTAGGAATACATTAAATATTATTCTTATCATTACTATATAATTATTATTGGTAGCGGAGATGAGCATTCATCAAGTGTTTCTGTACTTCCTTGAAGTGTGGTGAAGATGTTATTATTTCTTATTCTTTATTTATCTATTATTGTTATTGATTTAGGATTATTATCTTTATTGTCATTATTATTATTATTATTACTTAGGTATTCTGGGAGCACTAGTTACTTTTTATTATTATCACTATTATTTATTATTTTTATTGTTATTATTATTTATATTATGATGACTGTATGTTCGACTGTAGGTTTGTGACTGTGGTGGTGGTGGTGGTGGTGGTGGTGGTGTGATGGACCCCTAATGTAAAAGCTTCTGCTTCTGGGAGTTCCATTTCCACAATGTAACACATGTACTTTTAGGGACTGTGTGAATTGTGAATAAACTAAACTAAACTAAAGAGCAAAACACACCCATTCTACACAAACACACACACGCACACAAACACAGACTCTACAACGACAGGCCTCACAGGTTTCAATATGAGTTCATACAATACACCTGTGTGTGATATCCAGCTTTATTATACTGTTTGCTGCATTTCACTTAATCTGTCATAATAATAAACTGCTCTTTTCCAATACTTCTTTAACTGATAACAATAGTTCAGAGATATTCGAATTTCTAAGTTACTTTTCCAGCCCCTAAATCTTGTTATTGTTTTCATTTCGATGTCCCGCCCTCCACCGTTTCACCAATCAGAAAGTCTGTGATCCGGGCGCCAGAACTCACCGCGTGGAGCTAATCTCACTGGTAAAGTACCATGTGGTGCAGAACTAAAAAAGGTCTCGTTATGATTCTCAAATCATTAACGACAAAACAAGGAATAAAACCAGGATTTCTATCTTTGTGAAAAAGGTGTTGGTTATAGATTTGTTGTTGACAAAACTCTTGTCTATTCAGCTGTTATGGTCCCAGCTGGATTCGTCTGCATATCTGGCAACCTGAGTCAGGGAGAGTGGGAGAGGCTGCAGTACCACTTTTGGCCAATTTTTTTGTTTAACACACTGCTCCTGTAATATTGATGTTAGAATGAATCATTGTTATTTAAATATACATAAAAAACACACTTTATTCCAGAAATATCCTCACCATGCAGTCTGTCCACAATCCTCAGTAATTATCCAACGTATTTAAATAAACATTTTTTTTAAAACCCATAAAAGAGATATGGAGTGTACTTTACTACGACCTCTAACGCCAGCTTACGTGGGGATCTATCTTATAATTGCATTACTTTGATCATATAAGTCACAAACATACCTAATATTGCATGACCTCAAACAAAGTTCGTCTTGCATATGCCACCTTGTACCCGCGGATGACCAGCAGGGGGCGCTGATGAAAGGGTTGAAATAGGCCTCTCGTCAGCCTCACGAGCAGCAGCTGTACCTGTGTGTCCTGAATCTGCTGAGATGGGAGCAGTCTGGATCTGGTCTTTCTGTCTGTTTGGAATAATCACAGGTAAAAAAAGCATTTACACTCCTATGTTCAGGTTCATGTTCTGCAAGTATTCTGAATCTTACACTTCTGATAAAACTAGTTGGGAGCAGTGACGGGAGTTGGAATGAAATCAATGGCGTGAACGGTAAGTTTTTATTATTTGCCAATTCTGTAAATACATTGGTGGCCAGTTTATGTGGTAATGAGAGGAGTATGTGTTTCAGGGTCCAAACCGTCTTTCGATGGGAATTCCATAACTAATGATCTGGAGAAATATTTCACCAAGGTGGATTCCAATGCAACAGAGGGTAAGTTAATGGAGATGTCTTCATTTACTCTATATTTGTACCATATTTTTAAACCTAAACTGATATAGTAATGTAACTTTGATCATTTATATACTTAAAAGCTCTGGAGTCTGTACTGTCTTGGAAGAGGGTCTTACTGTATACTTTCACATGTGCGGTACTTTTATTTGACCTATATTTACTCCTCACATTTGATCTGTATTCTACACTTTTAAAATGACTTTACATTATTAGCAACGGCTCACAACTAGCCAAGCTAATTGATTTGTAATTGTGAGAAGCCAGCGTTTTGGGTGGCTCCTAAAATGTTTCAATTGTAACTTGCAGCATTGATAAAAGTCCTTGGTAGCCCATTACATATTAAAGAACAACCAAATTGTTTTACCCAACACATGAATATGAATGGTTTATTTAAAGGCTTGGCGTTCTTTTCTGTAACAACTGATTGGTAAGATATTTATGATGAGGTTCTAGGCATGTCCAGAAACTACATAACGTTACTACTTTTGGGCTCTTAAGAACATTTCCACACATTATTTTAAAAATTACATCCGTATAAATCTGTATTTTTACTTTTTAACAATGTTAACTTTTGGTTGAAAAAAAAAAAAAAACCCATTTGGTATTCATAAAATAATGGTGAAGCTCATGTGAAAGTGATGTCTGAATAAAGTTATTTAGACATGACTTTATTCTGTCACTGCAGAAACGTCTGTATTTCAATTACTGCTGTACATGTTTATAAAACTGATAATCCAGCCCTTGAATTTGCACTAGTCTCTCTTCAGACTTGTATAATAGTACAAATGTTCAGTCAAAACTGCAATAACAAGTCATACGCTCCAGAACTTTAGAAGATGACTCTAGTTTCCTTAACACAAATATCTATAACCTGTATTATACTTTTCATTATTCTAACTGTGATGCTGTGTCTTTGCAGATCAAATGAAAAGCAATGCAGTTGAAGGCGCAGAAATGCAAAAGGTTAGTCTCGTCCTTTTGTGTCTGACAAGTCTCACGCTCTAGCACCTCGGGAACCCACAAACCAGGGGCCGTATTCCTAAAGATTCTTAGCGCTAAGAGTTGCTCCTAGTGGCCAAATTCTAAGAATATTCTCAGAATCTTGACCTACTCTAAAAATTTCCCCTAAAAAGTCAATTATGTGACCAGCTTTTTATAGGCTGGTCAGCGATCACAGCTGTGCCATTCTACTCATGTTACATGAACGTGAGAAATGATAAAAGTTGTGTAAGTGGGCCTAAGTTCACATTTTCAGTATGAATGAATACAGAAACGACAGAATATAAAAACAATACATAAAATATATTTGTATATTATCAACAAATCCAGCTCAAGTGGGACTTTTAAACTTCCTCCCCCTATTTATTCTAAATTAACCTATGTTATTTGGTTGCAACAGCTTAGCTTAGTCAGTGGTATATTTATGCAGCAGTGACACTCACAACAATATGCACTTTATTTGTACAGTGTATGTTTGTTTCCTTAAGTCTTTCAGTATCATAGACTTTACTAATACACTCCATGTATTCATATCTATAATTTTCTATATCATAATTACATGATTTTAAGATCTTATGTAAATTTCAAATTGGTGCTGAGTCGTAGCGTCCACAGATCTGCCTCCAGAGGGAGCAGCCTGTGAACAGACCATACTTTGCTACAGGTCCTTTGATGTGCATTTAAAGAGACATTATGTATGATTTTAAAAGTATAACTTGCTATTCACCGCATTCATTTTACATTGACACTCTTATCTATCATGTGGAATATGTAGTTATACAGTCTTCCATGAATAATTTTGTCCATTCTGAGGGTCCTTATTTTGCCCATTATACCAAAAAAAATGTCTCCAACTTTTAGGATCAACCAGTGTCTGAAATTGACTCAAACCTAGCAACAGGGTTGGCCACGCCTCCTCACTAAGATAGGAGTTTTTGTCCATTCCTTGCTCAGTTCTCTGAGAATGTTCTGGAATAACTTTTTAAGCTAAGACTCCTAGCTAAGTTAGGAACTCTCTGCGAGGACTCAGAATCTTTAGGCATACGGCCCCAGGTCTGTTCTGTGGTTGAATAAGTCTAATCGGATCTAATTGTTTTGCCTTTTTTTAAATTGGACAAATATTTTAAAGGTAACAAATGTAGTATGCACTATAGTGGTCTAAAGTAAATGGTCAACCCAAATGACTAAGGTAAATAATGTAGACATTGTAGTTATTCTTTATTCAAAAAAGGGACACACAGTTCAGTAAATGTCATTGGACTTGGATACTCCCCTTTTTTTTAAAGTTAATGTTGACAAATGCTAGCTGCAAGTGTCTTTGGCAAGATGCTTGACCACACTTTCCCTGAAGCCCCCCTTAAAGCACAAGGCTGTGTCTCCATTGGTGGAGCAGCCATCTTCCTGTGGACCCACCACCTGCAGTAGGCTCAGTGCGGGGCTGGTGCTATGAGCAATGGGTGACTGTCTGATTGGCTTAAAGGGAAGAAGGTGGATGGTTGGTTTGTCACGGTCGAGGTGGTCCCGGTGTAGCCCCATAACTTATCAATATTACAGCAAAAATCTGGTTACCCTGAATTCATTAAGAAGGAACCAAAATAAAAATGACAAATTTACATCATTACACGTTGTTTACACTGAGCTAAAATTACCTCCTCTGGATGAGTGCAGCTTTCTTGGTAGAAAGGAAGACGTGAGGTTTTTATCTTAATAAACAAATGTATTGTGATCACTCAAATATCCCTGAAGCTGAGTTCCAGGTGAACTTTCTCTGGGCTCCACAAAGTAGGTCATTTCAACGTAAGATAAAGTTAAAGCATTGCTGCTTCTGACCCTGAAAAGGGCGGTTCTTTTTATTCAAATTGTATGATTTTTAAACTTCAATATTTGTTCAAATAGATCAGTAAAGTGTCTGTGAACTCTACCCATAACAACGGTGAGCAGTCTTCTGCCAACGCCACTCTGGCCGACGTGTCTTCTGGCAACGCCACTCTGGCCGACGTGTCTTCTGGCAACGCCACTCTGGCCGACGTGTCTTCTGGCAACGCCACTCTGGCCGACGTGTCTTCTGGCAACGCCACTCTGGCCGACGTGTCTTCTGGCAACGCCACTCTGGCCGACGTCCATCCCTCTTCTGGCAACGCCACTCTGGCCGACGTCCATCCCTCTCTTCTGGCAACGCCACTCTCGCCGACGTCCATCCCTCTTCTGGCAACGCCACTCTCGCCGACGTCCATCCCTCTTCTGGCAACGCCACTCTCGCCGACGTCCATCCCTCTTCTGGCAACGCCACTCTCGCCGACGTCCATCCCTCTTCTGGCAACGCCACTCTCGCCGACGTCCATCCCTCTTCTGGCAACGCCACTCTCGCCGACGTCCATCCCTCTTCTGGCAACGCCACTCTCGCCGACGTCCATCCCTCTTCTGGCAACGCCACTCTCGCCGACGTCCATCCCTCTTCTGGCAACGCCACTCTCGCCGACGTCCATCCCTCTTCTGGCAACGCCACTCTCGCCGACGTCCATCCCTCTTCTGGCAACGCCACTCTCGCCGACGTCCATCCCTCTTCTGGCAACGCCACTCTCGCCGACGTCCATCCCTCTTCTGGCAACGCCACTCTCGCCGACGTCCACCCGTCCTCTGGCAACGCCACTCTCGCCGACGTCCACCCGTCCTCTATGAAGGTTTGGATTTACTTCATGAATAAATTGTTTCTAATTTTGATCAATAATGAGTCTTGACATTTCCACATCTGGGCCAGGGCTGTAATAAGATAAGAAACCTTTATTAGTCTCACAGTGGAGAAATGTCAGTGTCATCGTTGCACATTACAGCAGAGAAAGGAAATAAGAGCACTCAGATTGCACACATCAAAGTCTATTATTTAAGATAATAGACAATAAATTTAAGATAAAATAAAACAAGAAACTCTGGGCTATAATAGCACTTGGTTCGGAGTATTTACAGATGTCTATATTTAACATTAGCAGCGGAGAATATGAACATGAGCAGAATAAAAATCAGAAATAATATCAACAGGTAAAGTGACTTGAATGGGAGAATTATCAGATGGATATGAATAATACAGTAGATATCAACAGGTAAAGTGACGGTGAAAGGCAGAATGATCAGATATGAAATAATGCAGTAGTACTGATAACAGTAAATATCAGATATATAGTACTGATGACAGGTAAAGTGACTAGTGAATTATCAAACACTTGTGCAGACTCAGCAGTTCCTGTTACACATTCTTGTTGTACAGTCTGACAGCAACAGAAAGGAAAGACCTGCGACACCTCTCCTTCACACATCGAGGGTGATGTCCCACATATACTTTGAGAAGTTAATATAACGTGTAATAGTCCAATATCCACCTTGATGGGAGTGTTTTCCGGGTAAAATATCAAGTAATGTACAGCTTTAGTGTCATACATCCAGAAGCTCTAATGTGAAGAATCTTTTTGTATTTATACTTGTCTGTTTTTACAGATTAGTCCAGTCACTGTGAACACCACACAGAATGATGGTCAGAAATCCCTGGGGATCGGCCAGGTGCCAGTCTCGGAGGGAGGCAGTGATCCAATGGCCATCCTTGCCCCGGGTAATGGCCAGGTGGCTTTCCTGAACGGACACCTTGCAATCATGGCTGCTGGAGGACAAATGACTTCGTTGGGTGGGTCTGGGGGACAGGTGTTGGGTGGGTCTGGGGGACAGGTGAGCTCGTGGCGTGGGTCTGGGGGACAGGTGAGTTCGTTGCGTGGGTCTGGGCAGCAGGTGGCCTCATTTTTTGGTCCTGGTGGGGCGCAGGTGGCCACATTAGTTGGCAACGAAGGGGGGCAAGTGGCCACAATAGTTGGCAACGAAGGGGGACAGGTGGCCACTGTGGTTGGCAGCCAGACAGACTCTTTTGGTCAAAAGAGGGTCTATGCAGATGTGGGAAATGTGACACATGGGTGGAATAATTCCACAATAGTAAAGAAGGAAGTTGATAATATTGTTTCTTGGAAGAATATAACCCTACTTGATGTAATTATGGGAAATGCTACAAATGATTGGACAAACTATACATTGTCAAATAGTCATTCCAATATTCCTGGTTATGTCAACCTTACAGATGGTGATATTGACCCAAAAAGCAAAAACTCATCCAGTGTACAGATCAGCAGGAAAGTGAGGAGAGAACTGACTTTATAATAGGAAGCTGGTCTAATGCAAAAGTTTGTTGAAACTGTTGTAAAGCATGAACTGTTTTTCAATAAAACATTTTAACCTAAATGGTGAGTCGTCTATTGCTTTTAATTCATATTTTCCAGGGATTTGCAGATGCACAAAGTTGTAGGATATTCTTTCAGTTTGTTTCAAATGTTGTACGCGGTCAAATAACTATTGTGCTCCCCTTGGGTCAAAATTAAAAGACTAGTAGGATATGGGTTAGTCTTGTCTTAGTAAAAGTGTAACTCTAAATCGGATACGGGTTATTACTTTGACATGTTTTGACGGAGCCGAGGTTGAGCATTTTAGGAATTTCAGCTCCAGCATTAAGTTTATTAATTTAGCTTATCAAAGGTCTTTCCTTTTCGAGACTTGGAAAGACTTGAAGGGGAAAAAAAACCACCCCAGACTCAACGATGGCCATGTAGCCATCGTTGAGTCCATCCTCAATCACTGTGTGGTTCACTGGTGCCAGTCAGGGAAAAGCAGAGACTACAGCGCCTCGTGCTCTCTGCATAGAAGGTGATTGGCCGCAGGACCTGTACGACGCTTGAGGCCGGGCTGGTCGTATCACAGCCGACCCCTCACCTGCACATGGACTGTTCCAACCTCTCCCCTTGGGCAGGAGACTACGGTCCATTCGGACCAGAACCTACCGCCATAAGTTTCTTCCACTCTGGTGTTAGGCTCTTGAACACTTCATAATCTGTCCCCCCCCGCCCTTTATAAAGTCTCTTAACTGGTGTCACTGTATGCTTACTGCATATTTTTGTGTGCAGTAATAATTCTATTTCAAATTGTAAATCTCAGTGTGCAATTTTTTTGTCTCTCTTCTGTACCTCTTTTTTGGCTGTTGCACAGAGCTAAAGCAAATTCCTAGTCTAACTTCCTATTACTTACATGGCAATAAAAAATATTCTGGTCCTGAGCCTTGCACATGTGCCCAGAAACTCAAATGATTTCAGCTGAACTGCTCAGAAGGGTGATAGAGGTGAGGGCCCCAAGTGTCACAGGTGAGGGAGGTGAGGGCCCCAAGTGTCACAGGGGAGGGAGATGAGGGCCCCAAGTGTCACAGGTGAGGGAGATGAGGGCCCCAAGTGTCACAGGTGAGGGAGATGAGGGCCCCAAGTGTCACAGGTGAGGGCTGTAGCCACCATTTTGCACCAGAGGTTTGTGTGTGGGAACGTGGCACAGAGACCTGAGCAACAGTGAATGTAGTCCTTGTGTCCGTGCATGAACAGGCCGAATCTCTATGGACGACAATGATCAGCTCATTACTAGGCCGCACAGTTACAGAATGGCTGCTGGAGACGGGTTGACCTATCACTGAGTGGCCTGCACCTTTGTGAAAGATTATAAAAGGTCTTTTTAATGCAATATATACATTTACAAGAAGGTCCTGGGTTCAAATCCTGGTTGGAGCAGGTTCTCCAGCTCTGATCCTGATCAAACCAAGCATCTGTAAATGGGTCCCCGGGCGCTGTACTAATCATCCCAATAAATTACGATCACTAAATAATCCATTGTCCATTGTGACAGCTATAATGCTGACAAGATTATATACATTATTGATCTCACAATGGACAAATTTGGTTCAATTAATACACTTGGCATGCAGCATACTAATACTTTCACACTTCTTATAGGAAAAGTGGGGTTGAGTGTTTTGCCCAAGGACAAAACAACAGCCGAAGTCAGTGGTCTTGCAGTGAGCTCAAACCCACAACCTTCAGACTCAAAGGCCAATGCTCTACCAACCGAGCAACTGTCGCAGGGAGTCACAAGGACCAAAACTTAAACTGTTCGAATAATTATCTTTTTCCTTTTCTTCTTATTTTCCATTCCTCTTGCATTGTTGTACTCACTGCTCTGTCTTGAGCTCAGAGGGCATCACTCTTCCCATTCTTTCTCCTGTTTGTCTCCACACAGATAAAAAACAAGGGAATATTCTACTTTTGTGGGCGTGGCTTCAGTTTCTCTCAGCCAATCACAACCCTGCACCTGTAAACCTATAAAGTCTCTTTCAATTGTTTCCAGCTGTGCGAGTTGTGGCCTGCGCTGTGTGTACCTGTGGATGTGCTAACGGAACATCTTCTCTGCCCTACAGCGAAATGGCAGTGCTTTGGATCCTGTGTTTCAATCTACTTGCTCTTGGGACAGTCAGCGGTATGTGGCTTTATTTAATTGTTGGGTTTTATTTCAAACCTTTCTTAAAGTGACTTATATTTTATTTATTTATCTTCCAGCAGGACAATGATCCAAAACATAAAGCCAAATCTACAATGGAATGGTTCACAAATAGACGTATCCAGGTGTTAGAATGGCCAAGTCAAAGTCCAGACCTGAATCCAATCGAGAATCTGTGGAAAGAGCTGAAGACTGCTGTTCACAAACGCTCTCCATCCAACCTCACTGAGCTCGAGCTGTTTTACAAGGAAGAATGGGCAAGAATTCCAGTCTCTTGATGTGCAAAACTGATAGAGACATACCCCAAGCGACTTGCAGCTGTAATTGCAGCAAAAGGTGGCGCTACAAAGTATTAGCGCAAGGGGGCCGAATAATATTGCACGCCCCACTTTTCAGTTTTTTATTTGTTAAAAAAGTTTAAATCATCCAATAAATTTCGTTCCACTTCACGATTGTGTCCCACTTGTTGATTCTTGACAAAAAATTAGATTTTTATATCTTTATGTTTGAAGCCTGAAATGTAGCAAAATGTTGAAAGGTTCAGGGGGGCCGAATACTTTCGCAAGGCACTGTATATCTTTACACACAATCTTTAAAATGTGCAGAAAAAATAATCTTGATATATAGCATTTGGAAAAAAATAGTTCAAATCTAAAGTTAAGGACGATGGTTGATAATTTGACTTGCCTGAAATATAGCAATCATTTTAACACATTATATATAATATGTAATTGGAACTCTGTCACTCTAATTGGAGTCACAGTGTTTGTCATTTTTAAATTGTCAAAATGATTCAGACACAAACACTGCAAAATATGTGAATTTGTTTGATTTGCTCTATGATACAAGTACAATCAATATCTACAGAATACTATCTATTACAATATTTGATCATTGCTACACATATTTACATATTTACTTTGAATGTGCTGGAAAACGGCTGCAGGTCCTAAGTAGCTCAAACAGTTGTTGTTTTGTGCTTTAGAATTTTAATTTTAAATTTATTTTTTTCTATCTGAGATGGTGCAGTTCAGTGTTCATGGTTTTACACTGGTCCAGACCAGAGCAGAGAGGATTCATGGTTTTACACTGGTCCAGACCAGAGCAGAGAGGATTCATGGTTTTACACTGGTCCAGACCAGAGCAGAGAGGATTCATGGTTTCACACTGGTCCAGACCAGAGCAGAGAGGGTTCATGGTTTTACACTGGTCCAGACCAGAGCAGAGAGGATTCATGGTTTTACACTGGTCCAGACCAGAGCAGAGAGGATTCATGGTTTTACACTGGTCCAGACCAGAGCAGAGAGGGTTCATGGTTTCACACTGGTCAAGACCAGAGCAGAGAGGGTTCATGGTCCGAACCACGCGGATGAGATGAAAATCCACTGGAGGAATGCTATGTTTTTGAAAAATGCTAATGAAGCATTTAGCATCGTACTTTGGACCAGAGCAGAGACTACTCCACCTTGTGACCCGTTCTGCTCCACCCAGAGACTACTCCACCTCTGCTGCTCTGACCTGAAGGACTGTTCCTGATTATTACTATTTTTAACTTTTTAGAATGATCAATTTTTGCTGTTACTGTTACACCTGAATATCTCAGACGAGGATCAATAAAGTATCTATATCTATCTACAGTACCTTCGCAAACATATTTGTAGAATGTGCAAAAGCTGGGACTTTTGCACATTTTGTTTACAACCATTATTTACTGATAGTTCACACACAATTAACAGACAACTGTGAAGTGAAAGCAAAATGACATGATTTTTTTTAATAGAAAAGTGAAAAGTTGGGCCTGCACCAGTATTCATACAGCATGAGTTAATACTTTGTGGAACCTCCTTTTGCTTTAATTACAGCAGCAAGTCTTTTTGTCTCCACAAGATTTGCACATCTAGAGAAGGTTTTAGCCCATTCCTCTTTACAAAGACTAGCGCTCCTTCAGAAGAATCAGAATCAGAATCATTTTTATTGCCACGTAAGTAACAGGAGGTCACAGACTTGGAAATTGCTTTGGCTCAGTGCAACAGTCAGAGAAAATAAAAATAAGAATAAAAAACACTTCTAAAGAATACATTTAAATTTAAAATAGAGTTACAGTTACTATTTACAATATACAAGTGCACATGGTGCACACCATGTAAGGTGACAGCAGTACAGTGAAGTAAAGTGACGTATGATGGGCAGTAAAGTGACTTTATAAAGGGCGGGGGGACAGGTTAAGAAGTGTTCAAGAGTCCAACAGCAGAGGGGAAGAAACTGTTCTTGTGGCGGGAGGTTCTAGTCCTGATGGACCGCAGCCTCCTGCCTGAGGGGAGTGGTTGGAATAGTCCATGTGCAGGGTGAGAGGGGTCGGCTGTGATACGACCAGCCCGGCCTCGAGCTCGGGCGACGTACAGGTCCTGCAGCGATGGAAGGCTGCGGCCGATCACTTCCTCTGCAGAGCGCACAATGCGCTGTAGTCTCTGTTTGTCCCTGACTGTGGCTCCAGCGAACCACACGGTGACG